TATTTTAAAGCAGAGATTTTTTAGGTTAATGTTATATGAGAGGGGTTATAATTATACCGACGTAACTTTTACTAAGTATTACATAACTTAATAACTTAATATTAAATGTGAATTTTGTAAATTCAACTGTTGGATTGAAAGCTCATATCACTTTATATGTGTATATCAAATTTTGTTAAAATTGAATAACAACTTGAATGTAATTAAAACGTTCATATTTTAGTATATTTTGAAATGAATATATTACGTCAATTTTGTTTTATAAAAATGAAGTATCAAATCATCTTAGATTAATATAAAGTTTTGTATATATGATCTAAGAGTAAAGAACTTTCAATCTAACGGTTGAATTTATAAAATTCATATTTAATATAAAATTAGGGTGGTGTAATACTTAATAAAAGTTATACCGATATAATTATAGCCCTCATGTTATATTGATAAGTGAAAGTAATTATTAAGAAGAAATGAATTGGGGGTGTAGATAGGAAAGGGTGGGTCAAATGGAAGGAGGTGTGTGGAGTGAAAAGAGAAAAATATTGAAGGGGAGAAAGTTTAAAACACCTAAAAAAATTATGAGTATTTTTAAAAAATAAATAAACAAGAAAGTAGGTTATTAAATAATATACTAATAATAAACGTCATGTCTCGTAAGTACATATTAATTTTTAATTATCAATTATTAAATAATGTGTAGAATATGTTCATTAAAAAAAAAAGGCTTTTGATATATTAACCTCTTACACTTAATAATATACTCCTTTCTTTTTATTTTTTATTTTAATAAATACCTTTATATTTTATTTTAAGCTGAGAGCCTTTTTCAAAAATTATTTAGAACTCACTTCCTTTAACACTCACTTTCTTTCACTCCACACACCCCTTCATATAACCCACCACTTCCTTTTCCCATACCCTCAATGTTTCTTAACAATTATATTCAATTTTATAATATAACATTGCACCCTTTAACACTAGGATATCCTCACTTACTCCTACCCGTCTAAAGCACGAACAAATACAACGTTCCATATCTAACAAGGTAAATATAATATTCCAAAATTAAGTTTCTATTTTAAAGCATATTTTTAAAATAATATATATATATATATATATATATATATATATTTTGTTTAGGGGTTTAGGATTTAGGTATCCTTTCAACATTTTATCGAGAGATTCTAGTCGAGTACCTTAAACATTTTTCAAGAAAATCTGATCGAAAGATTCTGATCAAGAGGATTAAGTCGAGAGGACTTGACCAAGTACCACACCAATCATATTCTTAATAGATCAAGTGATCCAAGCCTACAAGGGATGTTGACGCAAAATCTTATCTTTATTAGTAAAAATTACGTATTTATCAAATCTTGAAATTTTCAAAGTTTATAAATTTATAGTAGTTAAGTATAAAAATCTTAATCCTAGAATAATGGCAGACAAATTATACTATTGAATGCTTTAACTTTAGTTGAGTGACTAGACTAACCCTATATGTTCTCTAGACCGGAACATTTTATAAAAAAAATAATTTTGAAAGGATATTTTGAAACATACTTCCAAAAAGTAATTTACATAAATATGTTTGACCAAGTACAATATGTAGTTCCAAAAAATACATTTCAATAATATTAAAAAAATTGATTATAATTAATTGTATCTTAGAAAACCAATGACTAATAATGTCTAAAAATAAACCAACAAGATGTCTGAAAAAAGAAAATAACGAAGATGGAATGAAAAAAATAAAATTTAAAAAATTGTGAAGTTGGGAGTATAAAATAGAATTTAAAGAATAATAAAGATGGTGAATCTTAATTGCTAGAGAGAGGAACAGAAAGAAATAAGAAAGAAGAATTAATGAAAAGTAGTTAGAGATGAATAAAGTAGTAAAAAAGGAAAGAGT